GTTGGACACGTTTAGCGACTGTTAGAGTTTGTTTTATACCGGCAGTGTGAAAGGTCAGCTTATGGCTGTTGACCAGTGAGGGCGGTGTGTCTAGAAGCAGCATGGGGAGGGGGCTGTTCAGCTGCTGGGAGCCTAGGCCCATGGGACAGAGGGGGTTTGACTGGGGTCGGAGGGTCAGGCCAAGATAGAACAGAAAGATTCCGGGCTCTGGACTGTGGGACAAGAGCGGGGCCTCTTTTGTTCCGCTGTTTCACGCTCAGCCCGTATAGCCTCAAACTTCAAAACACACCCAGGAGTGGACAGGGCTTGTGTGAGTGGTGTCAAAAAGAAAAGTGTATGTGATCTTTGTCAGAGGGCAGATGCCTAGGGTTTTTCTACACCATAATACATAATAATAACTGTAAAAAAAATCAAGTTATACAGTGTCACTAGTTCTATTTGCATGTATTTTTGGCCTCTGACACATTTGTAGATGAGGTTTTTCAGAAAGAAAAGTGCAAAAAGAGATGACCACCCTCACTCAGCCAATCACCGTGTATGCAAAAGATACAATATTCTTTAATAATTTGAAGACAGCATATATCACTTTTATAAGACACTCTCTGTTAGAACACATAACATATATTATTATGTCAAAAAGAAAGCTTTTATCGCTGAATTGAAGTGATAGGATCGTCTAAGATGTTATCATAAAAAGTAGTGACAGGTGAATAATACAAAAGTTTAACATTTATATCAAACTTTGTGGCCAAAACATGTGTATTTTTGATGGTATGAAGTACAAACGAGACATATCTACGAGCACATGCATGAAATAACTACACATTTCAAGATCTTTGGATCTTTGGATCATCCAATCCAGAATTGTGAATTTACATCATTTCGATATTTCTCCAGATATAGCTGGAGCATAACAAATATCCAGATATAAGCTGAGGTTTATTTGATAACTATACCTACATTATTGAAACTACCCCTCATTAGTTTTTGACACAATGTCTGATGGAAAATCACTACAGTTCCTAAAAATATGGCAATTGCATATTGATCTCATTGGTTTATTTACATGGGCTGCAAATAGGGGGTGGGTCCTGGTCTAGTTTTGCTGTCTCATGGCCAGAGGTCACTGTCTATGTCCAGCTTTGGCCAATCCCAGGAGTATTCACAATCTGTCCTAGTGTCCAGCTGAAGAAGGGGGCAGTGGACCAGCAGCTCAGGGGCAGGTCTGGTAGTGGACATAGCACAATGGCTGGAGGTAATTACTATGCAAGAGCCGAGATGGAACAGAGGGTGGGAGGGACATCTGGACTGTGAACTTTGACCAATAGGAGCCTTAAAGCGGTGGCCAGACTTCTGCTGGGGTCACTCCATATTGATCACAACCAAAGATGCAGATTTGTTGAAAGGAGTGGTCACTATACTCCAAGGCCAATGTAGTAGTATTTATTGAGGGCTGCATGATTTTGGCAAAATATTTAATTGTGATTTATCCTGAAAAACACTGTGAGTTTACAAAGTTGGGGTTTGTTTAAAGAGTATAATACGATACAACACACAATAGTTTAAAAACACAACTCAGGCAAGCTTCTCACTCATTTCAGAAAACAGATTGTAGATTTTAAGTGTCTTTAAGTGTCCAAAAAAGAGATGCATGATGTATTATAATTAAAGATTTTATTAGATGAAAGAAATCTAAAATATAGAATTAAGAAGTTTGTACTTTTACTTGAGAAAATATCCACTGCCTTAAAGGACATCTTCTTGGAATGGAACAAGCACATTTGGTTTTACCTTACACTGTGAATAATATAAAATACTACTGCAGTTTTAGGCTAAAGATACCCAAATTGGCAAAACTTGGATCCAAATATTCTCAAATCTAAATATTTTCCACTAATTCACACATATTACAACTTTTTCTCATGCAAAGGATTCACATAATAGCATAGTTTTGTGATTTGCTTGTTGCGACCACTAAAACTGTGATTAACCATGTAGCGCTATTGTATACAACAGATATGGTGATAGAAATTCTCCTTTAAAATTGGCAAAATAATTCAAATGACATAACATTGCTCCTCTACTAAGTTTACCAAGGAAATGACCAATGATAAGTATAGAAAAAACCTGACCATGTACACATAGCTATCTATACATCTCCCTCACCTAGTCCGCTGATGGTGTAGCTGTGGTTGAGAGCTTGTAGCTGGACGGTGGGCTGCTCTGGTTGGTCCTCTTGGTGGTAAACCAGTCTGAAACCAATGGCAGGGACCGAGTCTGCCGAGGGCTGCCAGCGCGCCACTACAGACGTACAGTTGAGTGGCTCCAACTGCAGGATCGGAGCTGAAGGCACTGAAAAACCACAATAAAACAACATGCAGATGTGAGATTTTGGTTGTGCCCATGTTATTTTGTTATATTCATACTATTTCCCACTGCTTGAAAATTGCAATCTTTTCATATAATTATCAAATGCTGTTGCTATAAGTCTGTATCTGTGAATACGTATACATGTACTGTATGTATCAATGTATGTGTATATCCATGTATGTTTGTATGTATGTACTCGAGGTATCAATGTATGTACTGTATGCACTTTCTTGCTAAGGTATAGCAAACACAAAACACCAATATTTGTTTAATTTTTATCCTTATATTCTTTTTCACACAGCACATGTCTAACAGCCCTAGTTTTATTGCTCGAGATTACACTTCAGAAAGTAGGGGTAGGCGTCCATAAGCTTTCTTGCTTCAGCCAACTCCTTTTGAGCTTGTAAAGAATGCGGCACGGTGGCTGAGTGGATAGCACTCTCGCCTCTCAGCAAGAAGGTCCTGGGTTCGAATCCCGGTCGGACCAGGGCCTTTCTGAGTGGAGTTTGCATGTTCTCCCTGTGTCTGCGTAGGTTTCCTCCGGGTACTCCAGTTTCCCCCGCGGGGGCCAGCCGCGTATAGTGGGCATATCGTGCCAGCCAATCAGAATGAGCCTGTCAGCCACGTGCCTTTGTGATGAAGTCCAACCAATCAAAATGCAGGGATATTTACAGACGCGAGTTCGAAACCCGTCTCACCCCAAATAAATCAAACTTATTTAAAAGTTTAACGTTAATAACTGGGTCTCATTTTGACCTTAATAACAGCCACATTACCTTTCAAGTACATAAATGTAACTATTAGAGAGCTTCTTTGAAATGTAAAACTTGAAATGATCAGTGAATTGACAGTAATATTAACAGCAATGTCATGAAACCTTTTGACCTGCACAAAGTGTGAGTGTGTGAAGATCACAGAGGCTTATCCCCAAAGGCCTCACACACAGGTTAAAGGTCACACCTCCTCAGGATGGGAAAAGTGTTGATCAAGGGATTTAGACAAACACACCTGGAATATCCCAGAGGTGAGAACTCTGCAGGGGGTGCTTTGAACAAGTTCAACAATAGCTGCTTTGATCCCACTGACACTGAACTGAAACTCCATTTTCTATACAGATTGTTTTGTCAAATACTACTGTTGTTTGCCCTGAAATATGATCAATAAAAAGAAAGACTTCAATAATGTATGACATTATAATATATTTATTGTGAACAGATGAAAAAATAGATATTTAAACATTTAAGAAATACACTTAGAAGAAAAACAACAACATGCTATCTTTATCTTCTTAAACTAGTATTTGTGTGATGAGCCCTGTGACTGTGACGGCTGAGAGCTGACTATACAGAACTGTAGATGCAGACTTTACAAATGAAATGATATAATTAGATATAATCAATATTAAGTATATATTTACATAATAATTAGAATATTTATAAAAATGTATGAACAGACAGGTGTAATATATACATCTCATAAATAAAAGGAGGTCATAAAAAGGAGACTGCTGGAACATCTGCGTCTCCATCCCCTGGTCCTTGTACAGGGAGAATACTTTGGCAGGGCAGTAGATGTATTTTCCTGACAGACCAGGGAATTGTGTATGAATGTGAGGACTGGTCCCTGCTTCAGCTGCAGTTTGCAGAACCCGCACTTTCTCCCAGTGGCAGGAGACTCATCTCTCTTCCTTTTCTTCTCCTGCAGCTCATTCACTCTCTGCTGCGTGGCCTCCAGCTCTCTCTGGCAGAACTCAGTGTCCATAAAGTCTCGGAATGGCATCCTGGAGTTGGTCAAACCCTCTGTGCGATAGGTGTTATAGAACTTGGTGGAGCAATAGAAATACCTGGTAGGACCCGGCTGGTAAAACTCGTGGATGGAGCTGCCATCGCCCTCATATTTGGATTTTGGCTGGCCACAAGACAGGCATTTCTTTGTGTGGGGTTTATTTGCTGGAGGCTGCTGCTGCTTTTCCAAGATCCGCTGCACAACCTTCTCTATGGCCTCCTCAGACAGCGGTGACATGAGTCTGAGCAGGAGGAGGGGGGTTCACTGCTGCAGGGGGCATGGTGACAGCAGGCGCTGTGCTGGTCTTACTGCCTGCTGTGAGCGATGTACTCCCCCAGCACTTCAGCCTTGTCTGAGGCATCACCTCCTCTCACTCGCACCAGAGTGAGGGCGTTCTCCCTCACCACCTCCTCCCTCAGAGGAGCACCGCACTCCCTCATGGACGGGTCGTCCCTGATCTTCCTCGCCTCCTCTGAAGGGTCCTGCAGCAGGAATCCACGTGGGCCCTTGCGAAAAATCACAGTGACGCGGCCAGGAAAGAATGAAAATGTCTTCATATTGTCTGCAACAACAAAAAAAGATCATAAAATATCTAGCTATAGCATGATAGAGAAGTATGTATAATGTATATATCTTTAGCATAATAAAGAAGCATGAATCCTGTATAATCTAGAGAAGACATATACAGTTGTATGTTTACATCTGGACATTAGCAGCATGAGGCTCTGGGATACAGTAAGTACAGTTATAGAAGGACAATATGAACTGGTAAAACACTAATACATTGTCGTAAACTAACTGCATATAATTCATTTTCAACTCAATGTGTTGCTGAACTATAGAAATGTGAAATACATATAGACAGTACACACATCAACGATAAGCATACTGTACACTACAGTACAACAGATGGAGCAAACTGTATTATATTTATGAGACAATAGTAAGTGAACAGAGAAAGAGCACAGTGACAACACTGAGCCAAACTCACAGCAGCACTTATACACAGCCTGTTACAACAACTATGTGCATTAAACTTATTAAAAGTGCATTTGATCTGTATACAGTGTGCTTTAGCTCACGTGTGTACATCCCAAAACACCGCGTTAACTAGCGCTGGAAATACTACTACAACTTGACGTAAACAAACTGCATTACTGTATACAGTAGAATACAGTGAATACAGATTGTTTGACAACGCAGAGAAAGTGTTTTCTTTACAATATTGATCCAAACAGAGAGATCTACGAGCAGCAGCAGCAACAAACATATGACACGGAGGTAAACAATCATAAACAGCGCACTGCACACTCGAGATATAAACTACAGACGTGTGTGAACGATCTACGCACAATATGAGAGATTTATGGAGTGAAACATAAAGAACGAGCACAAAAACATTGTGTTTATCAGAGGAGACTTACCGAGTGCGTGTGTAATCCACAATGAATGGAGAAAGCCGGCTCTCTCCGTTTTAGAGCAGCGCGCACACGTCACTTCCGCTGGCACCGGAAGTGACGCATGAAACTTTTACCCATTGACTACCGTTGAAAATGGTTTAGCTCTGTTTAGGTAAACTATTCTCGGCAGCAAAAATATGTCCAATAGTTCTGGCATGCGCCTCCTGTACTCCCATCTCTGTGTGGAGTGAGAGACAAATGCCCAAAATTAACAATTGTAAACCGCTTTGAGACTCAGATCGGCAGTGAAAAGGTGGTATATACTGTAAATAAAAAACTTACTTACTTACTAAAGAATGTAAACAAATCAAATAAGTTTTTGCTTAATGTGCATTTCTATCTTCCATTGTGAGAATATTCTGTTTTTTGGGCCCTATATTGAAAACAAGAAACATTCTGCATAGGTAAACACACAGGCTCCACGACAACAAGCAGAACAGTGAAAAGCAGCTATTCTTTCCAGCACACAGCCACTGGAGGCCCTCATTTATGACCCGTGACGGAGGCCGCTCTAACAGCACTGACAGCAGAGGGCAAAGGCTCCTGGGTAACCACACAATGACCATGGGACCAGGCACGAGTTGGACACTGCATCAAGCATCCCAAAAATAGTGTTTGGTTTTGTTTGATGCTCGACCACTGTATATTTATGGTCGAACAATGCTAACAGACTACTCCCAATAAGAGAAAAAAACACAGCAAATATGTTGACAAAATATCACTAGTTTCGTGAATGCTCAAAACAGTACTTAATAGTAACTGCGCTGTACAAAAACATAAATAGCCATTATTATTATTAGGCACTATTTAGCATTTTGAGTATCCACAGATAACAACATTGAAATTTCCCCATAATAGGACAAGTAAAGGTTTCTTGTTTTTATGTAACCTTCTCTTCATTCTGTGCGCATATATAACTTATACAAAACATTCTGTATAAATAGTTGGCAAGTATATATCTTGTAACCAGTTTAGGAAGCAGAGATCCTAAGATTCATTCCACTATATTCATAAGGTGCATTTCAAAACCAACAGTATCCAAAGTGCAGCATATAGTGATAAAGAATGCAAATTATAGACATCATCAAGCAAATCTACCAGTAAAATAAACAAATTATACTAAAAAGAGATCAAAGAAATACAAAGAATAAAAGTATCAAACAATATAATACTATCATATGCAATAAAAGAAATGAAATACAAATATGGTAAATACAAAAATGAAAGTAAGAGGACCACACAACTCACACTCTGTTAAAAGCCCTGAGAGGTGGGTCTTAAGCCTCAGAATCAGAATTATTTTTATTGCCATTGTAAGTAACAGGAAGTCACAAACTGGGAATTTGCTTCGGCTCGAGGTGCAAACAAGTTGTAAGAGTTAGAGTAAATAGGCAAAGGCATGCATACAAAAATCTTTATACAAATTAGAGCCCCTTGAAAAGCCGTGGCGACCGTCCCTGCCGCCATTCTGTAGTTCAAAAATTACTGTACCTTTGCTGCTGGTGGTGCGAGGAGTGCGATGGGAGGTCCAGGCCGAGGGCTCGCACCATCCGGCCCGTGTGGAGGCCGCCATCCGCAGCAGGTAGATGTTGTCTGGCTGAAGGTCCTCCAGTAGGTACTCGGTGGTGTTCTGGGGCAGCTCCACGGAGGTGATCGAGGCGTCGCCAGCCGTGCGGTAGGAGAGGCGGTAAGCAGACACCCGCCCTCGGCTCAGTTTGATGGGCAGAGGAGTCCAGCTCACTTGGATGTCTGTGGAGCTGTGGCTGGTCAGGGTCAGCTCTGGTGTTCTGAGAGGTACTGGGAGGAAGAAAAAAACAGAGATGAGATTGTTTTAGACATATAGGTGGTCAAAAGTATTGGAACTCAGATATTAATCAATGCTAAAACTGGTAAAGAAACTTAATGGAGCAAGAATCAATAAAAAATACAATAAAACAGACAAAAAGTGCCTGGACATTATTCTTCTTTTTGGATGTTTGAACCTTTTTTGTTCATACTCAAAATTGATTGTAATATCATACAAAATGCGATAATAATCTTGTAAAAAAAATCATCTGGTAAATAAAATCTGTTATCAAATTAGGTATCAAGTCTATTAATTGTGTCAAAATCAAGTCAGAAATCTTAGTATCATCCCAATACTAATTTTAGAGTACAATGCTATTATCTACATATATATAAACTTCTTTTTATTTATTTTTTGACTAAAGTGATTCCAGCCCCCATCCCCTGCCCCTCTAAAGTGCTCTTTGCGAACACGTCCCTTTGCTTGTGCGTGTCTTAGCCTAACTACCACTGTGATTTACTGCTAGGAATGTTCAAGTCCCTGCTCAGTGCTTACCATCTTCCAGAGTATGTTGACTGACTTGGTCCGACATACGGCTGGCTCCCATCGGCATGTAGGCCACAATATAGAAGCTGTAGTTTCGTGCGGGTTCGAGGTCGTCGATGATGTAACTGGTTGTGTCATTTCCAATAACAACCTGGTATTCTTCGTTGTTCAGACCTGGCACCGAGACAGACAGATAAACAAGTGAAACTCAATGACATCATCAAAGGGTTTGTGTGTGTTACGTTTGTATGTCTTATATGTCAGTGTTTACATGAGTTTATCAAGTTATGGAGGTTAGGAAGCTGAGCAGTGCCCCTAAAAGCTTACACATGAAAAGTGTTTATACTGCTGCAAATGTTGGAAATGAAAAACTGCTCTGATACTCTTCTTGGATATGTATTGTCCCTAAAGTTGGCCCTGTCCCTTTAACTATGCGGAGTGCTGCGGAGTGGACAAAGACCTGACTAAGCCTGTTGTTATTTGAGCGAAGTTGCCATTCTAGGTCCTCCTTGACCTCTGCTCTGCGCTGCAACAACAGATGGCCTTCACCAAGAAAACCAATCGCATGTGTGAGAGTCAGATGACCTGCTGCTGCTGCTATCTTCACTAGTATCTTTCACACCTATTTTTTTCACAACAACAACATTCAGCAACATTTATGGACATTTATCAACACTTATGGATATTGGTCATCTGGTCATCTTATGGACCAATGTGTTTTCTGTATTGAATCTGTTTTGATCCTGCTTGAATTTTGTCACTGCATCATTGAAAGTTTGCTTGTCAGTTCCAGCCAGCCATGTTCCAGCTTCTTCCTTCTTGCAGAATACATAGTTCGTTGAGATTCTTCCCACAAGCTGTTATCAGTTTAAACACAGCACTTTAAATGATCTTGCACTTGTATTGAAACTGTTTTAGTCGATCGATTTCAAAGCATCAATTGTTTCCTGTTTTGTTTTTTGTTTTTCTGTACTTTTAACCTTTTTTTATTTATGTTCTTGTCTTGTGCACACTGGGGAATTTCGCAAGTGTATTCAAATGTTTTACCGCAAATGACAAATAAAATGAATCTGAATCTGTCTAAAGTCCTCCAAGAGAAACTACTGTTATGATTTAGGGCTTCACTGGTTTGTGCAAACTCAAATGCACTGAAATCTTACCTTCCGCCTTCATATAATGGATGGAGTAAGCTATGACTTTGTCTGCGTTGTAGAGGGGTCTCTCCCAGGCCAGTAAGATGGCTGAGCTGGAGATGGTCTCAGCGTGGATGTTCCTGGGTGCACTGGGCCGGTCCTCAGACATGACCACAATGAGACGAGCCAAGGACAGGACCGACCCCTGCTCGCTCTCGGCCACGCACTGGTAGATGGCATCGTCTTCTGGGATGATCTGGGTTATCACCAGTTTACTGTGGGCCGGCAATAAAACATGGTTAATATACAACTCAAGGAAGGCCACACAAAGCCTACACACACACACACAAGCGTACAAATGTGTTACCTGTTGTATAACTTGATCCTGCCGTTGAGATGGACCTCTTCTCCATTCTTCAACCAGATGATACGAGGCGTGGGCACTCCTTCAGCCTGGCACATGAACCTCGCTGTGCCTGCTCTTGGACGGGTTTGGCTTTCAGGTTTTTCCACAAAGGTTGGGGGAACTGCAAAGTAAAATAATAATGTTGAAGGTTACTTTGTGGAAATCATGTTGAATTCATGCTTTGTGATTTATACAGCTAAATAATGCAACGCAGACATTCAGCCACCTCTGAACATCTCGAACATATCAGAGCCATATAAACCATTTCAGACACAGAGACTTGGAACAGTCTTCCTAAATGTTAGACAGACCTCACTCAACATTGTTCAAATTAAGGTTGAAAATATCCTGTTAAACTATGCAAGATCTTAATTATTTATTTGTGAGCCTTTGTGTTTTGGTTTAATACTGCAGGCTGTGTTCATGTGACAAAACAACAGTCAATAGTTTACAATTTTAAAGGAGGACCACTGAAAAATCTTTCCTGGTAACTATGAGAATTGTCAAAAGTTTAGAGCGACTTTCTTTCATTCCTTGACCAAACCAAAAAAAAAAAAAAACAATCAAAAAGTTCCACATCTTTTTTGTCAGCACGTATTTACGATGGTTTCAAAAAAAAAGTGTCTAAATGTGGTGACGATCCTCAACCTTTGTGTGAAGAAATGTTGCTTCAGAAATGACTTTATAGACATTACAGAGAACATATGTTTAGCTGAAAGAAAACTGGGATATCAATCATTTACCCCTAGTATTAGTAATCGTCTCATTGTGTTCAGTTGTGTTCTATGCTTACCTAGAACGGTGATGTTAGCAGCAGCGATGGTGTAGTTGCGGGTCCCTGGAGTGGTGGCCCTGCACAGATAGACCCCGCTGTGTCTGACGTTTACATCCGTGATCACCAAGTTTCCGTTTCCCAGAACTTTGGCGTTGTACACGTCGATGGGTTTGCTGTCGGCGCGGCTCCAGGAGATGATCGGCCACGGATTCCCGGTGGCCACGCACTCCAGCACCACGGTCTGACGGAGGGACACGGTGACGTTCTGAGGTCCAGCAATGATTCGGGGCCTCTGCCGGGGTTTGGGGCCGGAAACTGCACATGAAGAGGATCCAGTTCAGTGTCATATATCTATATATTCTTAAGCTGTTAAGTCGCAATGAACACAATAAATTATTATGAGGTTATTATTATTAGTTGCTAAATAACTCAAATCGTTCATGTATTTCAATTATGTTCATGGGGTGGGAGTCGACAGGTTTTTACTTCTTTCCCACTCCATTTTGAGCTGACAGATTGTAAATATATACCTTTCTAAACATGGTGAAACTATGGAAAATATGGTTGCTTGATTGTACATTTATGTGTATATACTGTATATTGTTTATCTCTTGTTGTATGTGACCTGTGTTTTTCTTGCTCTCCCCTATATTCTGTGTTTTACTGCATGTTATTATTGTATGACTTTTTATGTTATTATTTCAGGGAGACCTGTCCACAGAATGAAAAATAGTCCACATGGCTAATTCTGTGTATGTACTGTAAGCGCAGTGGGCAATGTAGCAAAGGACAAAAATATCTCCATAAACTAATGAATTGAAATACTGTAAATTCATAGGAACGTAAAAAAAGAGAAAAAAAGAGGTGTTTCTAATCCTGTGATGCTGCGTTACCTTGAGTGACTGTAAGAGCTGCTTCTCTGCTCCTGAGGCGGCTCCCGATGTTGGACGCCACACACCGGTATTGTCCAGCGTCCCCTAGTTGTACATTGTGGATTTGCAGGACTCCGTTTGGCAACACAGTCATTCTGAACGGTAAAACGTATTTTAAATATACAAACATGGGCAGAAGAGGAATACAGTATGTACTTCTTTCAGTCGCTTAAGAAATACACATTATCAAGGATCTCAGGTAATCTGCACTCAACTCACACAACAACAACAACATTTATGCAAAAATTAAGAACAAGGATTTATATTATTAAATAAACTATAAAGGGAAATTCATATTAGCTAAAAACAAATCTCTTACAAGATATTTTGGCAAATTTGATCAAATTGGTAAAGAGGTTGATATGTTGAAATTGTTATCAACGTCCATCGAGAAAACACAACTAAACTTTAAAAAATAAAAATAATTGATATTAAAGTTGGGGTACCTAAGTTTCTCACTCATTTTGTTTCAGTCACATCTTTAGATCAACCTCCAATCCAATCAGCTCATTACAATCATCAGAATATTTTACTTCAATACCCCAAATAAAAGAACAATATACTGAATTAAATCATTTTTTCCCAGAGTAACTGACTAAACCATAAAAGTAATACATAAAATAACAAACTATCTGCAGACTTCTGTACACACCGATCAGTGGAAAGGGGCAGTGTGCTTTGGTCGAGCTCCCAGGTGATGGTGGCTGGAGGGTTGGAGGCCACTGCACAGAAGAACCGTGCCACTGAGCCCTCCATCGCCACCATAGGCACTGGATGGGTGAGAAACCCGGAGATAGCTGCAAAAAACAACACAACCCGGATTATTATACGTTTCACTTATTTTACATCCTTCCATTTTCTATATTTCTGAATCAACAACAGTCAAAATTGTATAAGATATCATAGTACATCTTTTATTCTTCCCACAGTGGGGAGATTTCAATGTTGCAGCGTACATACAGGACTTTAGTAGGAACACACAGGGAACAAATACAATATACAATGAGTAGCTTCTATGTTTCTTGGCTAGCTGTAAATGCTATATCTCTATCTGTCTACTGTATAATATAGCACATACATCACACATGATTACAGTACTACATTACAGAGTACAGCATAGACTTCAAATGTTATTACAGGTTGTAGACGTTTGATAATATAATCTTTGGCTTTGTTCCAGACACAAACTCAAAATGATTGCTGTAAGACTATAAAAAAAAAAACATTGATTTCTATAGTACTCTGGGATGAGGCTTTAGAGCAGATGAGATATATTACCAGCCTTACACCCCAGCTGGGCCAATCAATGGATCAATGTAAGAATGACAATGAATGATGCAGTGTAATAGTACAATTAATTTGACCCAATTTGCATAAAAGCCAGACCTGCAAACATGACAGATGAAAAAGAAGTGATTTGATTGATTCCCAAACAGATGACGTGGCTGCTATTTGCTAATACACAGATTGATACGCAATGTGGTCACTTGGGTCTCAACCAATCACAGGAAGGTAGATGATAACGGACTGGATTTTACCTTTTAAATCAGATAACTTTATACACCTTATGCATCAAGTAACTCTATTTAGAACCGGTGTTTTTTGTCTTTACAATATGGAACTCCAGTCACTTACTACGATAGACACTATATACTACATCCGTAAAATGCATTATTGTATAGCTCTAAATCGCAACAGAGGACTTCACAAAACTGCTGAATTCGCCAACACAGATCAGGGAGAGAGGTGTAGGGTCGGAGAGTGTTTTGTCTTGTGGGTTTTGTGTTGTCTGTCCGTGTGTGGTAGTATTGTGATACTGTTTGTACTGTACAGCTGTATACTTGAGAATTCTACTGCATGATGTTGTTAAAACTGTGTATGTATGATGGGGGTTGGAATCCAATACGCATTTGCTTAATTCAACCCCTTTTATTTCGTTTTTTGTCTGTTTTATTGATATACATAAAAATAAGTAAGTATTGAGTTTGAAATAAATATATAACAAGAATCAAACAGTTCAAACACAAGAAGCACAAAAACAACACATACAGCTATTAGTCCATATGGGGCGGATGACCAATGTCCAAACTAATTACTAAATATATGATGAACTAATATTTACATGAAACGATCCAAGTCTACACCAACATCATCTTTAATATTCTAGTCGTATGCTTACACCAATATCTTCCTAACTCATGTTTCCTCACACACAAAGCACACATCCCACTTTGCAATTACCTTAAGAACAATGCAGATGAAATAGGGGCCAATGACCTTCGCTCATTAAGGTGAAAACTGCCCCCCACACCCCAAAACCACCACCCCACCCCACCCCCCACTTACAGAAAGACAGTCAATATCATGTTATAGGTAATCAATGGCCTCGTCTCCAGCTGAAGCTCCACATTAAAATCCCAGGCTTTGGGGGCTGCTGGGGGTGAATGAAAGAGCAATCCTCTCATTTAGGACTTTGTGGGACCAATAAAACAGGGATAGACACCGAAGTACGCTGTGTGTTCACTGTGTGTGCTGTGTCTACTCTGTGTGATATTTCAGAGAAGAGTTGAGCCGTGTTTTGAATGTTGTGAAGTAAAAGTAGTGAAATCAAGACAAAGTTATTGTAAAGGTCCTGTCAGTTATAATACTGTTATGACCATACTTTCCATTGCATAGTGATTGCAGTTGAATTTGAAATGGTTAAAATGGCATTATTAACTTTGTTTTAGATATTTTTTTTTACATATATAGATGATTTGAATACCTGAACAATTTCTATTAAGATGCAATGTATTTACTTTTTCACTTGAGTTCAAACTGGATGACTGTTAAGTTCCCTTCAGGCAGAAATTTGGACTACTAAAATCGTAACAGAGAGACCTGAAAGAAAATACATTGAGCAAATTGTTGGTGGGAAGCGAGTTTGCTGTACAGAATGTGTCCCGCAAAGAAGGTTAACACACAAACATACTTTTTATTTTAATTTCACTATAAAGTGTATACATGTCTCTATATATTATTTCTATATATTTCTGCACTAGAATATACAGTACTTTACACTTGCTTCTTTATTAGGCAAAAGTCAGAGATTTTGATTCTTATTCTTTGATTTGATCATAGACTGCTCCTTATTATGCTAAAGCTAGAGATATTTTATTTAGTCAAGACTTTAGTATAGAGTTATTCAGTATAGAGTTTAGTATAGAGCTCATTTATCCTCTTCATTCTTACTGTTCTGTAACTGGGGATGCAACACTGAATTATCTTAATCTTAATCTTAATGTCTCGATGTCTATGAGAGTGGTTGTGTTATATGGGATTATAAATTACAAAACGGATACTAAATGGTTAAACATACAGCATAGTAAACATGACCAAGCCTAATAATATCATGATACTTTTGTTATTTTCACCACAAGGCAATATACTGTTTCCAAATCCTCTTGATTCAATATAAAGTTGAAAGAAATGGCTTCCCATAAACCTCGTGACGCATATTGAGCCAAAAAGTGCCTGTTGTTGAAAAGCTAATGAGAGATTTGTGTCCAGCTGCTTTCCTGGTGTGGGAGGAGCCTGGGCCCGGCCGGTAGCAAGGCCACCTCGGCTTTCACCAAATCAATGTGTGGGTCAAACAGCACAAAGGTCCCGCTGCTCAGGTCAACGTTCTCCCCAACCCTCTGTCCACTCCATTTGCATCCCAACTTGGCTTCAGATCGAAGACTTTGGCCACGTGTGGTCAAAAGCAAGAGATCAAAATAAACTGTTTACAATTACTCAGTTAAAATAGTGCTTAATAATACTGTTATTTTATACAATGAATTTAGGATGAGTTATTGCTTAAGTTGGTTTGAGACAAATACAATGTCATTTTTTAATAATAAATAAATGTCTGATTAAAGGTCCACTAAGTATTTTTGTGAGAAAAATGGCCACTTGCATGTTTCCCTATGTGTTGTTGTTGTGCCTTGAAAGTTATAGAATATTGTATTAAACTTGTTATCTATTTAATACCGGATAGTTGAGCATTAGCTGGAAAATGGAGTGGGATTAATTAAATTCTCCCACTCCTTTTCAGGCAAATTTATTTTTGGGTTTTGTTATAGGAATGTTTTTTATGATAATAGCCACTGTGATGCTCCTAAAATAAATTAATAAATACAATAAAATAAATTAGGGCCAAAGTATTGAAGAGTTAAAGTTACACAGTGCTCCTTTATCATCAACTAATTAAAACTTTTCTAATTCAGTATATGTTGAGTTCTTCAGGCCACCGCCAATGGATGAATGGGGATTTTCTTTTTTGCACAACAAATACCTATTCTCTCAGGATTATAATCACTTTTTTTCAAAGTTCAAACTCAACTGCACCCTGTTGGTTCAGGCTATTTACTCATATGACAAAATGGCCAGTTTTCAACAAAAGGCCCCCGGTTCACTCGGCAACAGAGGGAATGATCCAGTGAATGAGGATTGTGGGGGTAGATCAGCAGGCCGTCCCAACCAGAGCGAGCCCTGACATCACAAAAGCCTTTCCCTCGTGACCCTGACCTCTGGAGCCCCTGGACAGAAGGAGAGCAGGACCGACCCATCCTCCACTGCCCCACCGCCTGCAGTGGACCCAAACCTTTAACCCTTTTACACACAAAAGACCGGACACCATACCAAAAACTTGAATTTGAAGTTTAGAGCATGTTGGTTGCAGCATATACCAATTATAAATGTGGGGAAAAACTGTTAGGATGTATAAGTTTCACAACAGAATTTTGAGATTTTTGTGCCATGACTTGTTGATCTGCTTCCTTGGGGGGATCGGCGCCGTTTTGGACAGACGAAAGTTTAATTTAACGCGTTTTAACTTTCAAACAATATCAACATGCGTGTAAAATATATCTGACTAGTTCCTTGCTCTCAAAGCTGGTTCATAGTTTTCATGTGCATTAATCTTTGTCCTCTGTCAATGTTTTTCAAACATTAAAGTGAACAAGAGAGGACCAATCTCAGCCCAAAATCTCAAATAGTGACTCACATGGCTCTTTCTTACAAGTGTGCAAAGATAATGTTTTCTGAAAAGATGAAGAGAGCATGTCGTGGTCTGATTTGTTCACAACATTCTAGTTTTACAACCGTCTTTCAGATATTCAAACAATATCTATCCTTCATAAAGAATAATGGTTTGGTCCCCAGCTTTAACTATGAAGCAAAATTGGGGAAAATGAGTGAAAAGCTAGAAAATGTTTTATTGTATTTCAAATTTCAGTGTCAAAGTCAAGAACAATAGTTTAGAGCCTGCTCCTGTCTCCCTGGCAACAGACCATGGGATATGCCCTTTAAGACCTTAACCTCTGAATGGTCGGAGAGGCTTATTGAATGGACACAGCTGTCTTGTCCACTGATACATGGACAAACAAATGCCCTGGACCCTGCTCTTTTCTTCTGGGGCAGTCAGAGCCATTCCAAATAAAAGCTAAAAAGCAAATGGCCTTTGAGAGATTCCTGTGGGTAGCAGAGCATTCAGCAAATCATCCAGGCCTTAACTAGTAAACTTTGAGGAGAGAGTGGACAGTTTGAAGCTTGGGCAAGTGTTTCCTTCTCTTTTACAGGCAAACAAGTGACACTGCGAGCCAACCGTGGCCATATAGTAAAGCCAAAGTTGTGTATTTATGAGCTATTTACTGACTGCATGATTGACTCTCCATCTACCTGTAACTGTCTCATAAAATTGGGCCTGTAACTGACCTGACAGATTTAAACTGTGATTTTGTCAGGTCGGAACAACTTTCAATGACACTGACACAAAGATTTAAGGGTTTTTCCACTTTAAAGACGGCCAGCACGTTATCCATCTGCCCCCCATCTCTAGGTTATAACCCATGCCATTCTGAATCCTGCTGACACCTTGCACCGTGCAATGTAAAAGCACCATAAGCCGCTTAAGCCATGGTACCGAAAAAATGTCAACATGAACCTGCGGAGAATTCGAATCACACTAAGCTCTGTACTTACTTGCGATAGTCAGACGAGATCTTTGGCTTAGGATTGCTCCAAATTTGTTTTGGGAGAGGCACTGGTAGAATCCTTCATCTGATTCCTCCGCGTCGTGTGTAATCTTTGGTATGTACAAGGAGCCGTTGGGCAGAAAGTGTATGTGCTTGCTTTCTGCCAGGCGGACTCCGTTTTTAAGCCACTTGATGGAGACTGGAGGCTGCCCATGAGCCTGACAGTCCAGGACGGCAGGATCCTTTGGTAATACTATCACATCGCTGGGCTCGGTGATGAAGGACAGCTCACTAAAGCAGAAAACCCCTTTGGGAAGACAAGGAAAACACAGCAGTGGATCAGATATGGTGGATCAACTAACAAATATCACATGACACATAACCCAAATGCATAGTCTGAATGAATGTAGGATGTGCATCTACAGCCAGCCTTATAGGAGTGTGGCTCTCCCCGAGGATTCTCTCTTTTCTCATTGAGTTTTTAGTTTCTCTTTGCGTATGCTGGAGGGTCTAAGGACATTTATGGACATTTTATGACCCATTATCTGATGGACCAAAGACTTTCAGGGGTTTTACGGTTGTATTCTAATTGTTGCTGTTTCTAAATCAACATTGGTGAAAAAACAATTCTATTAGGACCGTCTGTTGCTGTTGTCACTTTGGGCTATTGTCAATTTTATACGTGATACAGAGAAAATACAGTTCTACAGATACCAATACCACTCATTTAAGTTTGAGTGGTATTGGCAACACATTAACTAAAAGTAGAATAAGAATCAAAGCCGAATATGTAGCACAACTATAGACATTTAATATATGATAATAATACACAAAATATCCATGCATATGTTTCAAATAATCACATTTGTATTGCAACAAGTAGAAAGAATAATCATTGTAAATCCATAGCAAAAAAAATAAATATTTTGGACTCATGCATGACTTTGTATAAGACAATATATCGTAATGAGACTTCGTGCATTCAACATCAAAACATTGAAAACGTGCAGCGCAAACACTTACCCGACAGAGGGAAACACAAAGCAAAAATAATCCATGGTTGACAAAGTTTCATTTTAAATTTGGCCATTATAATCCGCTTGTTTGGGTCATTTTCCTGCGGATGGGACGGGACGCACTCCGCTCCGTAGATCTCCAAAGTCACAAGTGAGTACAGTGACCACACCGCGCTCTGCTCAGGGGTCCAGTGCTGACCCCCCCCCCTCCCCTTCACAGTACGGACAAGCCTCCGCGCCTGCGCACTACACCCAACGCAGCACCAGGGGACCCAGGGGCCACCGGAAGAAACGACAAACACGTTGGTCAAGGCAGTAAAACAGTGCATCTGAATAATGTGTGTGTATTCTATAAGATTTAATGTCATGGCTATACGGCTATAATTTACCCTGAATCCCATTTGTCCAGTGTTATTTGTACGCTTCAACACTAAAAGGATTTTTTTTGCTGTGGCCAAGCATACCTGGAAGTTATATAGTATTTTCTCTGGCCTGTATTTTACTGCACTGTAGACTGTTATTACTCCCTTCATAAATCAAAGCAGACAAAAATAGCATTTTTGAAGAATTTTTATTTTATCAATTGTTTCTTTGCATGGATATATTATTCAAATATATTGTTGTTAGCACTTGTTTTAAGTTGATAAAGTGTGGCAAGGTGATCACAATATCCTGAGTGTGTGAATGAACCCTTGTGAAATTGTTGTATGGTAACAATAATTTGCCCACGTCTGAAACATTGCACATTTTTATGCTTTGGCTTTTTAACACTACTGTTATATGGTCCTTTTGATTTGATTTGATTTTGTTTTACTGTTATTTTAATAATTATAAATACCTATACATGAATTTTAATGATTTTACTGTTATGCTATGTTCTCTGCTTTAGACTGCTGCCCCCGCGACCAGGCAACGGATGAAGCGGAGGAAAATTGAATGGAATGCTATGGACTATGTATTTTCATCCTTTTCATAGTAATAACAGAACAAAACATATATTGAAATGCATTGTGTGACACAGGCAGCATGTCAAATGAAAGTTATAATATATTGATTTGTGTGTTTTTAATATTTCCCCTGTTTCTTTTCTCTTTTGGCAGTTTTTGGGGTTACTTTCATGTATATTCTTTTTTGAAGTAACTCAGAGTTCACTTAATCTGAACCATTTATCTGAAAGCCTTCGTTTGTGAATTTTAAATGTCTTTTTAACTTTGGCTCTCTTTGGACTGAAGTGCGGACGAATCCTCAGTAGTGCAGTGAATTACAAACAAAGTAACTCATAGAAGCAGCAAACAAACCTGTCAACAAATTAACGAACTAGAAGTACATCAGTCTCATACGTACCAGCCCGGACTCTGAGGAGCACAGGGACTGGACTCCTGTAGTGCCCAGAGTCAGAACTAAACATGGGGAGGCTGCTTTTCAGATTCACGCAGCTAAAATCTAGAACAGTCTTCCTGAAAATGTGAGACAGGCCTCCTCTCTGACAATGTTCAAATCAGGTTAAAAATCAGTTCTTTAGCTGTGCATACAACTGAGGGATTTTATCTTTACTCTTTTTAATGTACTGTTATTAATACTGCTTCTAATGCCTTAATTGTGTGACGGTTTCAGCACTTTGAGTTGCCTTGTGTATGAATGGTGTTATTGGTCAAACTCAGTTACATTTGGAAAGTCTGTAACTTTTCGAGTAACACACACACACACACAAACACACACACTCACTCACTCATACAAACACATACAAATGCTGTGTTTTCCAAAGTGAATGATCAGGAGGGTGGTGGGTGATTGGTAAAAGGTCATTGGACGGCATCTGCTCTGAACACAAGCGAACCAGTAATTATGAAGAGATATTGATGATCGCACGTCAGCTGCTTAATTAATTCAAGTATCGATCGGGCGACCATGCCTTTTGACAATGACCCCCCCTCCCCACACACGCGCACACACGCACACGCACACACACACGCACACACACGCTCATGCTCTCTTTCTATCTCTTGCTGAATAGTCACACAATGGGCTCCAGCTGTGCCTTCAAACCTGCCCTATCAGCACTATATATATCTATTTATACATCTATCTCTCTGTTTGTAAAATTTGTCGAAAATATGCATTCCTCTAGTTACAATCTCTATGTTTGAAAACTTGTATGGCACTGAAATACAAAACTGAAACTGGCTTTTCAAAAAATGACTTTGTTGATAATAATACTAATACATTTTATTTAGGACACTGTTCAAACCTGGTTAAAAACAGAATGAAAATATTAGCATTGATCAAACCAGAAAACAACAGAACTAGACTGGTTATGAGGCCAAAGAAAGTCTGAAAACTGGTGAATATTGAGTCTGTAAAGGGTCAATTGTAAGCCTGTACACTACATACATTTCTCTTCAACAGTAACCTTTAAGACACAGTCATTTTTAAGATGCATCGGCTTTATACACAATCAAAGCAGAGCCAAGTGTAATTATGTATTGATTACTCCCGACGATTGATTTCTCCGTCTCCATCCGTATAGTTTAAGCATAATTCATGTCTACAAACCAATGGCTTGTTGTTTATAGGACGTCGTAAAGTGTTTACTCGATACTGTGGATTTGTAGATGATGCCATTAATGATTTCTGTTTGGGAGAAAACAAGACAGATGGTCAGTGGTCAGGTCCAAGAGGAGTTTAGGTAATGCGGAAACATTTACAGAACACAGGGGGCAACAGTTATTACAAGTATAAGTAAAAGTAGATTTAGATTCAGACTCAGATTCATTTATTTTCCATTTGCAGTAAAACCACATTGGAATATACGTGTAAAAGTCCCCAGTGTGCACCAGACAAGTACATAAAGTAAAGTAAAGACAAGGTTAAAAGTACAGAAGCGAAACAAATTTAGAAAGGGAAACAATTGTCGCTGTGAAATCAATCGACTAAAAAATGTCAATACAAATGCAGGATCTTTAAAGTGCTGTGTTTAAACTGATGACAGATTGTGGAAAAAAGCTGTTTGCAAAAAGAAGCAGTAAGTATAGGAGCAAGTATTCTGGATAAAATCATTTTGGTTTCTTTTTGTCTGAATCGTTCGACACACATTTGAGTTTCAGATTTGTATTGGTTGTAACCATGGATCTATGGTTATAACTCAGTGTGCTGATGAAAGTCTGTCTAAAGCAGTACTTTAGTGTTTTCTTCAGTCTTGTCCAAATGGAGCAGAAACAACAGATTTCTGCTCTCCAATGAAACAAAGAAGCATACAAAGTGTTAACTTTGCTAAACTTTAAGTAAAGGACAGACAATACAAACCAAATATTTTAGTTTAGTTTATTTGTTTACTTTGATTGAACAAAAAAAGCAATTTTTATTACATTCTTCAAACAAAATCTTTCCAAACATACACACATTGATAGTAAGAGGTATGGGCTGCCAGGGCATCATATCATTTTAAAACACACGTTCTCAAGAAAACAACCATGTCCTTTATTGCACTTGTCAAGTCAGTCATTGAATCCATAATAACATTCATAATAATAATTGGTTCAGTCCAAGCTCTGACTTTTATTTGTATATTTGTTCATATATGAATATATATGTATATTCATATTCATATATATATATATATATATATTCATATTCATATATATATATATATATATATATATATTTATATAGCCTGTCACCAGAGGAAATATATATTTACATTGCACCTTTGGTTAACAATATGAATTAGATAATTCCAAGTATAAATTATAGTAGGAATGATAGGATATAGAAATAACTTCTTTATAAAACCCATAAAGTTTAGTTGGCTTAGTTGTTCGGCAATGACTTCAAAAACATTGATGCAAGTCTTGTTACAAACTAAAGTGGCATTGAGAAAGTACATACAAAACATAATAAACTTTTCCCTCAGTAGTTTTCCGAGTACTTCACAGTAGTGAGTTTGGAGCCCGTTTGGCCTCAGCTGTCCTCTCAGTTATCAAAATAATGTTTACAAACAGAAGACCTGGTATCAGTTTCCTTTTGTGACGTGTTCCACCTCACAATGCGGGGCGGGGGCTGCACTGGCCAGGGTCCACAGGGTCAGAGGTTATAAGGCGTGCGGCCGTGATCAATAGGGTTAAGGTCATTAACATGTATGAAGATGCAGAGGCCATGGGAAAGCTCCATACTCGCCTCTGATTGGTGGAAACCTTTCTATAGAACAGGCCAGCCCCCCACTGGCCTATGGGGTCACTCACAGAGCCAGTGACCTGCAGACCCTTTGCAAGACAATGGGCAGGTTTTTTTAATTAGTAAATATGAAAGTGTGTAAGAAATTAAACTAACATTATTTAGTAATGTAGTTATTTCTTATTCATTATAAGATTCAGGCTAGGTAAGGCAGGTTAAGACACTGGCCTTGGTGGCTCTGGTGAAATCCTGTCACGATAAAGTTGACAATTTGAGGAACAATTCCAAACATATCTATTTCATTGATATTTTGAAACAATATAACAAACTATCCGTACATTATACAAAATAATAGGTAAATAAAATAATGAAACTTCTTAAAGGAAATATCACAAGAACCTTTGGAAAATCCAAAATCCCCCTCAAAAAGAAGGCAAGGCAAGTTTATTTATATAGCACAATTCATACACAAGGCAATTCAAAGTGCTGAACAAAACAAGAAAGCATTAAAATCATAAATAATCACAGAACATTAAAAAGAAAGATAAAAATATAAAATCCCTCAGTTGTATGCACAGCTAAACAGAACTGTCTTTAACCTGGTTTTAAACATTGTCAGAGAGGAGGCCTGTCTCACATCTTCAGGAAGACTGTTCCAGATTTTAGCAGCATGAATCTGAAAAGCAGCCTCCCCATGTTTAGTTCTGACTCTGGGCACTAACAGGAGTCCAGTCCCTGTGCTCCTCAGAGTCCGGGCTGGTTCATATGGGACTAACATGTCACTAATATATTTTGGTGCGAGGCCATGGAGAGATTTGTACACAAGCAGAGCTGTTTAAAAGTCTATTCTCTGAGCCACAGGAAGCCAGTGCAGAGACCTGAGGACTGGACTAATGTGGTCGTACTTCCTGGTTCTAGTCAGGACTCGAGCTGCTGCATTTTGAATGTACTGCAGCTGTTTTACAGCCTGTTTGGACAGACCTGTGAGCAGGCCATTGCAGTAGTCTAACCTACTGGAGACAAATGCATGGATAAGAATCTCCAAGTCTGCTTTAGACACTATGTTTTTGATCCTGGAAATTTTTAGATGGTAAAAAGCTGCTGATGTTACTGATTTGATGTGGCTATTAAAATTTAAGTCTGAGTCCAGTATTACCCCTAGATATCTGACCTTGTTTGAAGGTTTTAGGGAGAGAGACTGTAGGTGACAAATGACGCTCTCTCTTTGTTTCTGGGGACCAAAGACAATCATTTCAGTTTTGTCTGCGTTTAGCTGAAGGAAGTTGTTTTGCATCCACTCACTGATCTGTTGGATACAGTGAAGGAGTGAGTCCACTGGTCCATGTTCTCCTGCAGTCAGTGAGACATAGATCTGAGTGTCGTCTGCATAGTTGTGATAGGACACTTTGTTTCTGCGTATTAACTGACCTAACGGCAGCATGTAGAGATTGAACAGAAGAGGTCCCAGGATTGACCCCTGTGGTACTCCACAGGTCAGGGCCATATGATCTGAGACACAGTTTCCAATCTTCACAAAGTACTTCCAGTCCTCAAGGTAAGACCTAAACCAACTTAGGGCGGTGCCAGCGACTCCAACCCAGTCCTCTAGTCTCTTTAAGAGGATCTCATGGTCGACAGTGTCAAAGGCAGCACTTAGATCTAACAAGATTAAGATTGAGACTTTGCCTGCGTCAGTGTTCAGCCGGATATTGTTTGTAACAAAATGAAGAGGAAATATAAAATAGTAAATTTTCAAGATTTATAAATAGATTAAGGATATAAAACTATATTAATGTGATATATTCCAATCAAATAAATAAGATATTCATAAAGGCAAGCTTGACCTGTCAGAAAAGATAAGTTAGTCTCGCAAAATCAGAGTTGAACTGTTTTAGGCACATCATTATAATTATGTTTTTGTATGTTTTATGTAAATTGTGCGTTGGTAAAAAGAAGAAAGCCGGTAACACACTCTGGTGTAAACTTTTTATTAAATAGGAAACAACTGTATCCAACAGGACATTTTTAATGCCAATAGTAAACTTCATTGTATTTGCGGCATAAAAGTTATCAATAAAACACACAATCATTCTTTAAAAAAGTTTATTGGCTTTTAAAACCACTTTAAAAATCTCACCAGTGAGTACTTTCCAATGAAAAAGAAACGACGCGTTTGCAATATTAACAAGCTACTGTACATGAAGCAGAACACCAGACAACATCACAGAGGGTTCTTCTACTGTAGAAATGGTCAAACCGTTGGATCTGGGTCAGTCATAAGGAAAGTTCAAAGTCACTGCTTGATGGAGCTCATAGGTGCAATTCCTTCATCCAAATTTCAAAAATCAGTGCCTTGTTGTAAAAGAAAAATAAGAAACCATGTAAAAATGTCTTCACAAATGTTTGCAAAATATACGTAAGATATAAACAAATAAAAGAGTCTTAAAAAAGGTTAAGAACATTAACTTAGTAAACAGCACACAACAAAAGTAACATAACTTATGAGACACGCACTGCCAGTCTGGCATAACAGAACCTGCCCAAATCACATAAGACAGTGGTTATCAAGAATACAAAACAACAGAAGTCATCACACGTGCGTGCGTACAATCATTGATCAACATAATGAGCATGTTTGTTTTATTCTCGTGGATGAGAATGAGTAAGAAATGTGTATCTCACTGAGATTAATGCACATTTTGCTACAAGACAATTAGTCCTTTACTGACATTTTCCTTACTCACCATATATTTCTATTCTTTTTTATGGGCATCCATCATTTCATTTGTCCATTACGATGTGTCAAAGCCATGTCATAAAAATTTAGTGCAAAAAGGTGAACCCCCAGAGTTGAAACATGAGTAATAGTTATTTCCAGTGTCTGCGTATAGGCTCAGAGCTCAAAGTCTGTCACAGAGATGTTTGAACCAGCTAACAGTATCACAACTTGTCTCAATATACCATGCTATTGATCCTGCTCAAAGCGAACATCACTTCTGCAGCTGCAGAGACCTATTACCTTTGAATAGAAAATAAAAGAAAGTCAAATCAGCAAGCGAGACCAGACAGCATTACTGTTACAACACATCGAGCCGAAAATGTAACACACAACATACAGTATCTTGCGACTATAGCTCTGTTATGCTTTTTTCTTTTTAAATGGCACATACTTGGGTAGAATAATGGCCATAATATAGTGTCTTGATACATCAAATCTCTATGTATCTATTCTATTTACAAATGGAGCTTAAACATGACTTATACAACATTGATGATTGCCAAAAATCCAAGCAAGCATCCAAACGAATTCCAGAGCCTACCTGGCCAACAGTGATGGTTTCAACATGCTTTCAGGTCCATGGTTACCTAAAAATCATAGTGACCAATTCACTAATTTACATACTGTACAGAGGACGTATGCAACGTAATTCATTAAACTCTTAAATATCTCATAGGCAGCCCAGTCCCATTGTTCTTTATCTGATGTGATAATCTCTTGTGGTATTACAAAATCATCTTTGGTATGGATATAAGGCTGGATTCCTCTCCATTTGCAGATGATATTTTTTTAGCCTATAAAGCCTACAACTAAAGCCTTCTCCATACCATTGATAATATACTCTGCGCTGGGGGGGTCTAGCATGCCAAAGGAAATCTCAAGACTCTTTAAGTGTGCCTTCCATGGTTTGGTGAATAATAAACATATTGAATTCCTTAATCTCCATTAGGGCATACCACCTACAAAAACATCTATACAAGAACACGGCAGAAGAAAAACAGAACGAGAAATAGTAGTGAAACGATCAGAGCCACAGCTGCCTTGATATGATGACGCTCTGGATGGTTCAGACTTTGACATTATACTATATACAGTCAATCCTACAGATGCTTAAGGCCATGGACTTTGGGGATAAGGCAGTTGTTGAGTCCTTTAAATGCATTAGTCCACAAAGCGGCCTGAAACTCCCATCTTTTGCCTACGGATTCATCTACTCACTTTAAGATATTAAATAGTAAGAAAATGCCACACTTGGACAATGCTTACAAGTAAATCAGCAATCCACTGATTTGGTAAATGGTAATGTATAAAGATTATGTCATAAATTCAGCACCTGGCAGCAAAAGTCGCCGCCATTAATAATAAGATATGGCAGGCAAATGTACTACAGCTATTCTGTGCATAAACCCAAACCGCATCTGGTTTGAAGTTGTACTACTAATCACAAAGAACATTCTGCATTGAACAGTTTTGGTGAGCTTTGAGCCAATTCGTCAACGTATTCAAATGTAAATGATAACTGAACAGAAATATTGCGTCATTGGTTTGTAACAATAATGGAAGATTAGGTTTCTGTTCATTGTTCATAGCATATTTGCCTGCGTGTTTGTGTAGCTGTCGTAATAAATTATACTTGAAATGTTTTATTTTTGAATTTAAGATGTAGTGGAGTTCTGTCTGAAATTAAGAATAGAGCTTTAACTAAATGCTGACGTTTTCTGCTAAGTCCGGAACTATAAACAGAACTAATGGCAAAGTCCAGACAAATCCCAACAAACTATTTTTAAGAAGACAGATATACTACATATGCACCAAACAAACATAGAATTAACGATCCTTAGCCCAACATCTCAACTGTAGTTTGCTGGTCTTTGCTCTCGAGCCAGTCAAAACCAGAGTTCACAGTATCACTGCATATCTGCTGAAAAAGGGGGTCGTTTTTCAGTTCTTCCAGTGTGGAGTCTTCATATTGTTCCTGCTGCTGGTTTGGGTCAAACAGCAGGTTGGTGTCTAGAGTATTGAGATCAGTGATGCTACTGGAGAGATCTGAAGGCAGCCTGATGTCATTGGTGAAATCTGAGGCTACTGCATTGAGCTCGGAGGCTACCTGGCCCACCAGCTGAGAGCTGGGGTTCAGGCCGTCCTCTCCCAGCAGGTCTTTGACAGTGTTGTTGAAGTCCAGCTGCTGCTGCTCGTCCTCCGCCTCCTGCTGTTGTGTGCTCTGGAGGAGGAGCTGTGTCTGTGTAGGACTGTCCTGGAGCGGTGGAGGCGGCTCGGGCTCGCTCGGCCCTGTTTGTGCATGGGCCTCCCCGGAGGAGAAGGCTGTCTCTCCGCTGCCCGTGCTGAGGTAGCCATGCTGCTGAAGCTCAAAGGCAGCTGGGCTGGAGCTGACAGGCAGCTGGCTCTGGTGGGAAGCTGCTCCAGCGAAGGCAGGAGTGGTCTCAAGGATTTGTGTGAGGTTCATGCGCGCAGTGTAGTTAGAGGGAAGATTGTTAATGCCCAGACCGCGGACAGAATCATCCCCGTCTGCTTCCATCTTACTAAGGAGAACATTAGTTATTTTTGCAGTATTACTCTGCTGCACCGGCAGCATCTCACTCTGCATCATAATGTTTAAAGGTACAGACTGGCTCCGCTGCACCATGCTGTGGACAGTGCTGACTGACTGGGTGTTGGACAGGATGCTTAGCACCTCAGAAGTGATGGGGGAGCCAAAGGGAGACACTACAGCTCGGACTGTGGAGACTGTGCTGGTGGCTGTGGTTGGCAGATTGGTAATACCACCAGAGTCCCTCTGTCGCACTGCAGGGCTGACACTCCGACAGCGGAACGTACTGGATGCAGAGGAAGTGGATGTTTTGTTGTCCAATGGGGCGGGCACAGCAAAGCTCTCCTGTTTGGTGGGAGTGGTGACTCCTGTTGTCGGCTGTTGTGGTACGGGAGAAATTGGGGTCAAACGTCCAAGGTGAGCAGCGTCCTGTCTGGTCTGTGCTTGAAATGACTGGCCAGGGATAGCAAAGGCATGTGGCTTGCGAAACTGGTCATCTACCAGGTCTTGGTAACTCGGCAAAATGCCAATGCTGTGGTTGTTCACAGGCCCTGAACTGTTGTTGTTATTGTAGCGGTTGTTTATCCATTCTAGTTTGGCCTTGTCTGGGTGTGTTGCCATTGGTCTTTGCATGGGTTTCACTGGGCTACTGGACACTATACTGGTATCATGATAACTTGTCATGCTCGAGTTGATGGGCGTGAAAGCAAAAGGGTTTCTGCACTCCACTGGGCTGGGAGGAACACTACTGCTGCAGTTGGACAGAGGTGTGCTGATTGGTGTGTGTCGACCCATGGAACTGTCTACAGGTGTGATAGGGGCCATGCGAGAGCAGGGGCTCTCTCTGGTCAGTGTGTGCGCAAGTGTCATCTCTGACGTGGGGGTTGGTGTGGGGGTGGGCGTTGGCGTTGGGGTGGGCGTCTGAACGGGAGTGGTGCTGCTGTGGGCAGAGTGGTAAAAGGTAGTGCCTGTCTGATGAGTATTAAGCATCGAGGACTGATTATTTTGGGTCTGGCCTTGAAGTGCCACTTCAACACAACCACCAAACAAACCCTTCAGCTTCATCTGCTCCTCCATTTGGACGAGTTCCTCCACAATACTATCTTGTGTCATGTCATCATCATTGAAGGGAAAGTAGTCCATGTTGGACTGAGAGCCCGCAAAGTCAACCATCTCTTCTGCCAGAGTGAGCTGGCCTGAGACCTCTGCAGGTTGAGCTATAATGGAAAGCTGGTCAGTGGGGGCTTGTTTGTGTTCTGCTGGTATCTGTTGAGCAAACGCTTGTTTTCGAAGCTCATCAAGCTGACCCTCCTCCCAGATTGTGCTCTTTAGGTCACTCATTGCAGAGGTGTCGTGTGCTCCTGAGTTGGCTGGTATGGCACGGGGGTTTCCAGTAATCTGCTGCAGTAAAACCTGATCAACAGAAGAGCTCCCAGTGGCACCAGTGCTGGTGATACTACTGAGAGAGACCTGTTGAGGCTTTATCAAAACCAAGGCCTGTGGTTTAACAACAGTCGGAGTGTGGGTGATCGGCAAATCAGACAGTGCAAGGATCTGGGGTGGTCCAATGGGGCCTTGCTTCACAGTCACTTTGCAGGGGGCACTCTCTGGTCGTGCAGGCGTTCCTGGTCGCGGGATCCTCTTAACCGCAGCACTGATACCAGATTTGGGATTGTCTATGAGAGCCAGAGGCTGCTGGGAGATGAAAACCCTTTTTACAGGAATCACTGGCGACTCTCCACCTGGGCCTGTGCGCTTTCGGAGGCCCTTGGTGTCAGGGCAAGAGTCTTTGAGTGCATGGGTAACAGCAGAGCAGCCATTGGAGTTATGATTATCAACAGTCAAATACAAGGTACTGTCATGGCAGTTACTGTTATTGCTGTCCTGAGTCCCAGCTGCAGAAGCAGAGGACACAGAGTCACTTTTTAGTCTGCCTCCTTTGTCTGGTCCCGGGGAACACTTCACCAGGAAGCTTGGTTCACTGATAGCTCTGAACTTAGCCACTCTGTCCTCCTTTACAACAACAGTGTCTCCAGGGTCGGCCTTGTTGTCAGTGTATAGGGTAGAGGTTGAGGGTGCGATGCTCATTCGGAGGGCAGGAGAATGATGTGGCTGCAAATCGTCAGAGGCTGCAGTGGTGTTGATGCCCGCTGAAGCTGGTCTCACGGTCGTGCTGCCGCTGCTGGGAGCCAGGGTGATGGCGGTCATCTTCACCACGTTGACCGAGCTGACGTGGGGGGTGGGCATCACAGTCTTTATGGGGCTGTTGGTGATGAGGAGCGTGGGGGGCGAGCGCAGGGTGATGGCGCTGGTGGCTGATGGTTTGGGCAGGATCTGAGCATATCTCGTCCCGTGCCGTGCCAGGCGATCTCCCACAGGACTGGCTGAAATATTCTGCGGGGTTTTGGGTGATTGTTTAATAGATTGTGTAACGACTTGGAAGTTAACTGGTAGCACTTTCCCTTCCGCTGTCCCAACAGGGCTGGGAGAGGTCATCAATTGCCTATTTCTTTGTACCTAGCAGACAAACAAAAAAACATTTAGTTTAAAAAAAAATAAGATGTACAATAACTCTATAACGTTTATTGCAATATGGACATGCTGCTAATACATTATTATTTCCAAATTGTAAGACTTTTTAAGACCCTTGACGAACCTTGAAGCCTGTTTCAGAGTTCTGAACACAGCGATAGCCAGATTTGTATAAGATACAACAAGACAATTTACTGTTTGTAAAGGAGACGATATCATCTGAATAATTGTAGTTACTTTTAGCTCAGAACCTAACATACAGCTAACATGTACAGTAGTATGTGTGAAAACTACCCTATTAGTAGCTAAAGAAGCTAAAACAGAGATCAACCAAATTTTATTTTTGAAGAATAGGGTTGTGCAATTCTTAATATTCACCTCTGTGACCGTTTCCCCTCGGTGGGACAAATGAAGGATCTTTATAAAATATTATATAAAAATAAGCTTGTTATACCGTGACAGGGCTGGGGACTGCTGCTACCACGATGCCGATGGTGGGCTGAGGGGACAGAAGGGCAGGGCTGCCACAGGGGAGGGTCGGGCCGGGGGTACTGGCCTCAGCCCTCTTCACCTCACTGGGCAGAGGAGAGTGCAGTTTCTGTTCCTGCTGTTTCTTCTGGATCTTTCTCTGGAGCTGCTGCTTTGCGTCCACAGAGGGAGAGGGCAGGGTCTTGACCTGAGGCTGAAAAGAGTTTGCCTCGGCTGTTGGCACAAACGCGGATGCTGGAGTGGGTGTTTTCAATCCTGACGGATTTAAGAAACAAAAATACACAATTAAATTGTATTCAAATATGCAAATGCATTATCGTAATCATCATCAACTTGGTTGGGTTGTTAAAATAATGAACTCTAAAAAAGCATTATATTTTTGTTATAGATGTACCATAACAAAAACTTTGATTTAAAACATATTTGAAGCTGAGTTACCTTTTTGCATCAAAATTAAAGCATTATGTTTGTCCAGACAGAAAAGGTTTTGTAAAAGTAAAATGTAAATTAAAACACATGCTGGCTTCATCTTATTAGGAAACATGTTATCTTTTGCATATGTAAGAAAGATCCCTCTGAGTTACTCACTCAGTCAAATGGCACCGACGGTGTTCCTATTTTTCACTTTTCTATCTGAAAAGATTGTCTAAAGCTTTTGATTATTCAAAAATACATATATGTGAAAACTAGTGATAGAATCAAACTGTTTTGAGAGTGAGGAACAAGCTAGACAGACTTTATAACATAGTTACATTTGTTGTTGTTTGAAAACTAGAGACCCCAGCTTTAAAGAGCCTGTACATAACTCATGGAAAGCTCTACTTGACTGCATACATCGAGCAGAGCGTGAGCAGAGACTACTCTGTACCTGTTGGTGTTCCCGTCATCACAGTAAGTGCTGCCATAGACTTTGTGCCGATGTAGTGGCTGTTGAGTAAGAAACGAGCCAAGTCCTCCACGTGGTCAAACTGACGACTGAGGACCTTCTGTGCCCACTCACACACCAGTCCACAGGCCGCTGACCGCATCTCGTCCTCTGCACTGGGGGACTGACCGCTGGGCTCCATCAACTCACACTGGGGTCAAGATGGATAAAAAAGGATTAGGGATAAAAAGGATTAGGGTCAAAATAACATATTCACTAAATAAAGTATAGAATGCTGTAATTACACACCCCATCATTAGATTTTTGTAGATCCAGGTTGGGTAAAGATGGCATGTGAACAAAAGCTTTCTTCCTTAACCCGCTATAACAATATGTGGGTATGCATTAAGGCTTTTTGATGAAGTAAAAGTGGTAAAAGTGAGTACGTTTACAAAGCATAAGAAAAAAAACAAAAAACTGACCACTTTAGGGTCCTGTCTAAAAATGGTCAGACGGATCAGATGGCCTTGCGGCGCTTTCAAGATCAAATCTTGCCTTAGCACTCAAACTTTGGAACAAGAATTGCTATCATACATACTGTAAAAGCACACTTTTGGCAAAAGTAATCACGCAAGTCATTTCACTTCAGCAATTAAACGCACTGTTTCCTGCTTTTGCTTCACGTAAAGAAACCAAAACAAAACAATCAAACATGTGCTGAGGGACTGTACTTTCACTGCAAAAAGTGATGAAAAATATGTAAAAGAATGCTCAAATTTGGCTAAATGTATCTTAATTTGAGCACATTCTGACTCTCTTAAAACTAGATTTACCAACGGGGCAAGCACAATGATCTTGTTATACAAAAATGCAAGAAATATCTCCCTTGGAATGAGGATATAAAGCAAAAGTTCTTGAAGTTAGACTAAATGGCTTTTTCTCTTGTTTTAAGACAGTCAGAATGTACTCAAATTAAGATAAAAACAGTCGATTAAAGCCATTATTACCTCATATTTCATAATTTTTTGCTGTGTTATCACAATGATTAAAGTGAGTGAGAAGTCTATACACATTCAAATACATACATCTCATATATAATCATGACCTTTCCCTGCGCTCTTAAATGCATCTGCTTCTGAGTATCCGATTAGGCCAAACAGACTTTTTCCTTGCCTTAATTGTAGCGCAAAGGTTTACATGGGTCTGGTTGGACGAGTGATCTGGTTTAGTAATTAGCATCACATAACACTATTTAAATGACAAATTCTGACAAAGACAAGTAATGCGTTCGATAAAAAGGATATTTGGATTTCCCCCTCATGCCCAGTCGACGCGCCTTCATGTTGGGAAAAACATTCTTCATGATCTTCCCAAAGTCTGCAGCACTCAGTGGATTGTAGCCGAGATTGTCACAATAGCTCCTGAGGGCAACAGAAACACCGCTGTGAGAACATGTTTCTTCTTCAGGGCGGACAAAGATAGAAAGACTCACTTGTATTCATCATAAACTTCTTGCTTTGGAAGGGACGTCTCTGGATGCTCCTCTAGGTGATTCCGGATCCAGTTGAAAGCATACATTTGTTGAGTACGGCTCGACGACATGGAACTCTGGTCACTGTCAAACACATTTGCACATTTCAGATCCGGAGGTACAACACATCCATTCAGAGAAACATGAGAAATAGAATAGAAACATTTTTTGATGCATTTTTTAATAGATTAAGTGATTTATAATATACATTTATTGATAATTGCTGCAATATATTATAAAGCAGCTATACTTTAGGGTTATGGTCTAACTAAGGGTTAGGGTCCCAACAGATAAGAGTCTAGTAAAAGTACATTTCATTTCATTTCATTTCCTGAGTTATAACTGCTTCATTCTCAAATCTGTTTTTCGGAAATTCACAAATTTGTAAAGTCCAGCTCGGAAAAAACAAACAATTTTTCCAATTCTTTTGTGCCCTCTTTGATAAAACTGTTGAACTCTGGTGGAGGTATTTGACTTGTGGGAACTGTTGTGTAGATATTGTGTGTTGTTGTATTGTTTTGAACTTATGTTGTAACCTGCTGTGAGGTCTGACTCACTGTGTGTTTGTGTAGAGTCTGTGTGTTCTGCTTTTCAGACCCTGCTACAAATGAATTGCCCTTTGGGATCAATAAAGTTTTCTGAATCTAAGTCCTCCAAGATGACTTCTGTTGTGAATTAGGTCTATCGGTTTAAAAACAAATAAAAATGAATTGAATTAAAATGTTGTGAACAAGTCCGACCACATCATGCTTCAGCTTAATAGAAAACATATTCGGCAAACTTGGAAGACAGAACCCCGCGAGTCGCTATTGGACGCTTTGGGCTGAGAGCTGATTGGCTGAGCAAGAGTGGTCGTTTCTTTTTCACTTTTCTGTCTGAAAGATCTGATCTAAAGATGTGAAAACCACCAGGAAGTGCATATATGTGGATTAGATTACTGGCTCAATGTTTGTTGATTGAATGTTACGTACCCTAGCTTTAACCAATGATTCTATTTCATTACCACAGATATTCTAAACAGTGTTGTTCGTGATGATTGAGGGTCCGTTACCTTTTGTCATTGCCACTGCTGGGACCAGAAGGCAACTTAAGGTAGAGGTAGAGTTTTTCGATGTCTGTAAACTTCTCAACATCTTGCTGTAGATAGAAAAAAAAGGATTAGGATTAATAATAATAATAACAAAAATAATACAGTAACTATAACAACAGCAAATAACATAGCAAAAAATATGCTTGTGTGTGTGTGTGTGTGCGTGTGTGTGTGTGCGTGTGTCTAAATGTCAGTGAGAATAGCGATGCTAAGTGTTTATAATGTGTCGCGCAGTGGACACAACCTGCTCATTATTGATCTGAACTCTTGGGTTTGAGAATCTTTTCGAAGAATGGCGTCGTCTTCACACTTCCTTTTCTATTTGCCCTGTGTTGCTAGGAAACCAGCACTTGAATGAATGAGGTGAGGGCTGTCAGCCAATCAGTGCCCACAAAACACTGTTTACTACATACTGTGGCTACGAGGAAAAAACTTACTTTGTGTTGTTAGATCAAGAAAATACAAAATAGAAATGTTTTAAGATTTTAAGCGTTACACAGAGCAGTCACTTATATTGTATGTTTTGTGTGCTCCCTGTGTGCTCTTACTACTGTCCTGTATGTGCGCGGCAACATTGAAATTTCCCCACAGTGGGACAGATAAAGTTTTTCTTATCTTAGCTTACATCGCCTAAAATTTACAATCCTAATAGGCTAATCAGTTTCTTTTGACAATCATGGCATATTTAATTGTCAAATACCGTTACCAATACTAATAATATGTTCATTTTTAAAAATTGTCATGGTCATTTTTCCCCCAAATTGTGTTTTATGTCCTGTGCATAAATATAGAGAGGCAATACTGAAGTTGCAGAGGCATATTACTAATTTACTTCTGTATATTAGAGAAACTGGTTTTATGGGAGGTTCAAAAATCTAGTCTCACTTAGCACTACTGTTTATTTTTGTGTTTGTTTGTGTATATTTCATGCTGTTTTTATTAACTTTCTCTTTGTGCTTATTTTGTGTGTGCTTGTTAACCACTTCAGGCACCTAATATTGTTATAAATGTGGCTTACTAATAAAGCTGACATTGACTTTGACATTGACGTTACTAAACACAAAACATTTGATGTGAATGTATACATAATAGATCCCTCGCACTGCCAGTTTTGCTCCATTGATAGTTATTATTGAACATAATTCCGTCCGCACTGTGGCTAATACAGTCGCAAACACGATCAGTATTAATAATGTGCAGTCTTTTTTGGGAAGACAAAAATAGAGAAAGGCTTTATATAGTCGCTTTGATGGGCCTGGAATAGCTGAGACTATGAAACATGGACTGGTCTGACAGAAACATCAAAACAATGCTATTAACATGGAGCTAATAATAAAGTAAATTAAAGTTAGCCTGATGTTATTAAGATTAATATTTACGATTAACAGATTCTTTAATTGTCCCACAGTGGGGAAATTTCAGTGTTGTATCAGCGAATACAGAACAGAATGAGGAGCAGACAGCACTATACTAAAATAAAATACAATCTCTAACTTTAGCATGATAAAGAAGCAAGTATATTGAGGATAGAATCAACCTTACAATTCTATAAAACTAAAGTAATAACGTTATTGTCATTTCAAAGTTTAAAGAAAAGCAAAACATAAATATATATATATATGTGTGTGGGCTTTTGCCAAGGATCTGACCATTTATTTTGCCAATATATAAAAGCGATGGAGCATTTTACAAGGAAACTACTTTATCCAAGGTTTTACCAAATATGAATACTCACCAATATGCTGTCGACCTTTGATTGTACGGATTTGCTGCAAAAGAAAAAGAAAATATCCTTTACAAACCTTCACATGTCTCTTTCCCCTCTCTACTCTATAGCACTGGCTAAGCATAGGTAAAGTTGGATATTACATGAGATCTACGCATGTACAACAGGATAATTTGTATTTGAGGGTGGGTTCTCTGCATTCAGTGTCCGTCTATTCCAATCCCAGCGGCCGTGACTGTGTAGACAAGGCCCTTATGCAAATGAATACATTTGTTTACCCAGCTCTGGCTAATCTGCTTGGCGTTATTGTTTGCCAAATTAATAGTGTTTTCTGCAGTCGCACACAACATAAAGTCCAAGGTGACATTCACAAAGGTTTACTCTAAGGTATTTCATGGAGAAAGCAGCAAGTAAGCAAAACAGCAACATGGGGAGCACAGCTTTTTCTGCTTTTATGTCGAGTCTCACATTGTTTTGCTTCACACAACTGCAAGGCACATGCAAATACTACAGTCCATGTAATAAACAGGACTAAATATCTGTATTATAAGCCTTAATGACCCTGAGTGAGAAATGCAAACAAAAAACTCCTATTCTATTAGTACACTAGGCCAACATGGACAGACACAGTATAATAGGCTCCATTAAAATAGTGCACATGACAGACTATGTGCAGAGTGTAATTTAGGTTTACAGGTGCATGGTATTCTGGATGCACGCTGTATCATATAGATCTGTAATGGGAGCAGCAGACAGTCTGTGACACCTGTCATCAGCATCATCACATCAGCAGCATCAGCAGCATCAGCAGCAGCAGCAGCAGCAGCTCTGGTGTCATCGGTAACATGGCCTCCTACGGCGTCATGCTAATCATTAAGCTACAGACGCGTGCTTACGTGGTTATTGCACATGAACAGCCTCGTCCAGCTCGCAGCTCACAGATCGCGGTCTAATAGATGCATAATAAAAACGTGTGCTGCAGAGGTGTCATTTGCAGACGCTCAGAGCCGCACATTGCCTCAGATCCACTCACGCTAATGACGAGGCTCCGGCCACAGCCACAGCCTCATCCTTACCAAATGGAACTCTTTATCTTGAACTGCAGTGCGTTTGCCTCGGGCCCCTGGAGTCCCGGGACCAGCGCTGGGAGAGATCCTAATCCCGGGGCAGGCTTCTGACCAGGTTGTTGTTGCTCATCAGCCATCACGACGGACGGAGGGCGGTGGGAGCTTTAACAAGTAGGCCTCATCCCAGGCTCAGGAGCTCGGACAGCCCGCTGACTGCAGCACGGAGCATGGCCAAGAGCAGGGAGAGGTCACGCCACAGAAACACAACACAAACGCAACAGAAAGAATGAAGAATCCGGCCATACAAAAGGCATTTCGCAGAGCCCCCTCTCCGCTGCCGCAAATAGCACGCCTGCAGCAGCCAGCAGCAGCTACAGACGAGGCTGTGTCAAGACGCACGGCTGCAACACGCTCCAGGCCGCAGGAAGCGCTCTGCACGGCCTTCACTGTAAAACCAGGCAGAGGTTTAACCATAGACTGATCTTAGACTGATCATAAACTGAACCATAGACTGATCATAGACTGAACCATAGACTGATCATAGACTGAACCATAGACTGAACCATAGACTGAACCATAGACTGAACCATAGACGGAACCATAGACTGAACCATAGACTGAACTATAGACTGGACCATAGACTGAACCATAGACTGAACCATAGACTGAACCATAGACTGGACCATAGACTGGACCATAGACTGAACCATAGACTGAACCATAGACTGAACCATAGACTGAACCATAGACTGGACCATAGACTGGACCATAGACTGGACCATAGACTGAACCATAGACTGAACCATAGACTGACCATAGACTGAACCATAGACTGGACCATAGACTGAAGCACAGAACCATAGACTGAACCATAGACTGAACCTTAGACTGGACCATAGACTGAACCATAGACTGAACCATAGACCAAACCATAGACTGACCATAGACTGAACCATAGACTGGACCATAGACTGAAGCGTAGACTGAACCATAGACTGAACCATAGACTGAGCCATAGACTGGCCATAGACTGAAGCGTAGACTGAACCATAGACTGAACCACAGACTGAAGCATAGACTGACCATAGACTGAACCATAGACTGAAGCGTAGACTGAACCATAGACTGAACCATAGACTGAAGCGTAGACTGAACCATAGACTGAACCACAGACTGAAGCATAGACTGAACCATAGATAGACTGAACCATAGACTGAACCATAGACTGAACCATAGACTGATCATAGACTGAAGCGTAGACTGAACTATAGATAGACTGGACCATAGACTGAACCATAGACTGATCATGAACTGAACCATAGACTGAACCATAGTCTCTCGTGTCTTTTTCTTTCATTCAAACGTGAAACCTAAACCATCACAAGCAGGCCCGTCCCAAGGGGGGTGCGAGGCCCTGTGCGAACTCGAAACGCGAGGCCCTGCCCTGACACTTTTTTCCCAGATCTGAGGAAAGTTTTTCCTGTTATAATCTTTGACATGAATTCAGCACCACCTCGCGCGGTGCTTGACGAGATCAGCACGCGTGTAACCGAGTGTCTTCGCTTCTATGCAGCGTTTGGCGCGCGCACGTACACACGCACACACACTCTACGTGCAATATTGGTCGCGGTCTTTTTAGCTGACATGTCTCTTTCGTCCTGTGGCAAAATGGTAGAGCAACTCAAAAGATTGAACCAAAAGGAGTCTTTTTCTTCTAATAGTTAGATTTTGGCAAAATGCGCCAAAATGGCTATGAGGCGGAGTCAATATTATTTTTTTCTCATCAAATAACGTTTTTGCCATGCCTCCACACACTCTGACAACATACACTCCTCCTCCTCCACACTGACAACAACAAAATACTCTTCACCTCCTCCTCCACACACTCTGACCACAACAAAAACACTCCAGCTAGCTAAAGCTAGACATACAGTGTGTTTGCTAATGCTTTTAAAAATATGTTTTTGATGTGGATATTCGGACTAAACATTGGCAATAGCAGCGCTCACACACCTGTCACACCGCTGATCCTCCTCCTCCTCCTCTGCTCACACAAAGGGGTCTGCTCCTCTGCTCACACCTGTCTCTCTGCTCCTCCTCCGCGAGTATCCATCTCTCCTACACTGCGATCATTCCCGTTACTTTCTTTGTATCTCACTCAGACACTGCTAAAGTTATCTGACAGTTTTTTCGGAGGACCCGTTGCATACATAGCTGCCCGCGCGCCTGCCTGTTTACAAATCGCTTTTGGTGAAAATTTGACTTTACTTGTAAAAATGTTCTTTTGATCAAACGAAATCAAAGAGGTCCAGAGAAAGGGGTTTAGGGTTCCAAATTTGGAGTGCAGTCTGCCCTTTGGGGACCCTTGAACTAGTGTATTTATAAAATAAAATAAAAGGAAGGAAGATTGCGAGGCCCCTGTGTGGTGCGAGGCCCTGTGCGACGGCACAGGTCGCACAGCCCTTAGGACGGGCCTGATCACAAGTTACAGACAGTATAGGAATGGGGAGCACATGGCACAAGGCAAATTAATAATAACTATGATATGATATGACATAGTCAAAGTACAGCTAGTTGAATATATAGTTGTTATGGGTTTTGCACCAGTCTCCTCTATGGACACACTGGTAGAGCTGTCTTTTATAGTCTGGCTTTTTTATGTGAGTCTTGTCCTATAAGTGTAAGATAAGAAAAAGATAAGATTTGTCTGTGTTTTGTCTTTTCCTGTATGGACCCTAAAGACTGATGCTTTAATTATACATATTCTGTCAATCTGCTGTTTTCCTTTATTCAAATCCAACATCCAAAACTCGATGTTTACCAGTATTTCAGTTGTTTGCAGTTCAGTTTTAGTGCGAACGTCCAAACCGGATATAGTCTGTTACAATATCGGTTTTTTATAGTGCAGTACCGCAGTGAGCCCGAGAAGGCGCTGCTGCACTAAGCCTTGATCAGATAGTGACAATGACGGGTAAACAGCCAGGATGATATCACACATGTCTACGCTGTCATGAATCTGTGCCTCGTGCCTACGGACCCTTTCTTACGCATTTCTTACGTTACAACTGCTCCTCCATTTATGCTCAATGGGACTCGATCAACTACATAGGGTCACTCTCCCACTCATCACACCCTTGCACTCTTGCTTACTATTTCTCCCCCATCGTAGTAATCTGATACACTCATGCAAAAATACGGCGACTGCACGAAGAGAAGAACATCTGAATAGCTATAGGGTACAGAGCAGAGATTATAGAAACATATATAGCTCAGTAATAACCATAATAAAGCACTTATTATGGTTATAATTTCTCATCAACAATCCATACATCGTTCTAGGGATGCAGTTTAGTACATACATTTAACATCCCGTCAGTTTGTGGCTTTGCAAATGTGAAATGTATAACATTGAAGTCACCAGGTCAAGAAAAACAAGCCCTAGATAAATCCGTTCCTTTCAGATGCCTCTCTGGCGCCATCTTTTGGGGAAACTGCGTCGCTTCACGCTCTACAGACTGGTTATAAAACTGTATGTAAAGTGATACATACAGAAACATACATTCATACATGGACAGAACATAGACTCTATATAGGCACCTTCTAAAGTCTACGGGACAGAAACTCCAGACACAATTTTCCCCTTTAGTCATCGATATAATTTACAAACAGCTTGTGATTTTTGCCTACATTGCTACAAGAAATCAGAATAAGAACCTCTATTTGCCTCACAGGGGGACACTAGGTCTACTTTTGATTTATAGTCTGAAAGATGCTGTTTGAATGAATGCATGTAGACACTAATCAGCTTCTGTCAATGTGCCCCAGGGCAGCTGTGGCTTCAGTAGTAGTTTATCACCACCGTGTATGGAGTGAATGAATAATGACATGTGAAGCGTCTTTGAGTGTCCTGCTACATTAAACTGATGCATTTTTATTATTATTACTAATTTAGGAGTGTGCATGGATAGGGAAGTCTGTGTGTCTCTGCTCAGACTGCTACCTCGGCAATGGATAAAGCGGAAGAAAAATGTTGGAGACACGGATGGAAATGACATCACATTGTCTCCTATAACTGACTGCATGTTGTAATTTGATGCAATGTACTTTCCTTTATTATTAGTCAGAATTACAACAGATTTTTTTTTTTATTTAGCATATAGGTAAGATTCAGGTAAGACTTAGACGTACAACTTTAAGTCTAGAACAGTCAAGCTGCATATGGAGACGCTAACTGTCCTCTCCTCCTCCTACTTTATCTTTAGTCGTCATTATGACTTCTGTTGTAGTCTGTTCATTGCTGTTCACCCGCTGTCCCATTGTCTGTTTTCCTGGTGTGACGATGGGACCCGGCCTCCTTCACCAGCTCCTGTGGACTGTCTTCTCTCAACCCTGAGCCTGGGAGCAGCCTCAGTCCTGCATGGCTTGGCCTCGGTCCTCGTTCTACAGCCTGATTCCTGGATCTACAGTCTGTTGGAGCAGATCCCTCCCTCAATGTTGGTCTCCCCGGGATTTCTCACTTTTCTCCCACTGGGGTTTTTTGGAGTTGTTCCTTGCCGATGCAGGAGGGTCTAAGGACAGTGAAGCTTTGTGATCCTGGTCTGTGAAAGGCGTTATACAAATAAACGTACTTACTCATGGTTATTGATCATTTCTTGTGTTTGAACCGTCTGATTCGCTGATCTATCTACTGTTGTGATATGTTAGAGTCATACAAAAAATAAAATCGAATTGAATTGAAATGGAAAAGCAGGTCTACAATATAAATACATGTCTGTGTGTGCATGGGCTGTGTGAGGCATATCCATCAAAGCTTGTCATTGCTGACTTGTTAACGGCACCGGAGGGAGGTGTGGAACAGTGACACTTCCTCTAAATCTCAAAGAAAATGTTGTTTCCTTGTTAGTCATTGTTTTCTCACTCTATTTTTGACCTTGGCTCGCTGGCTGTTCTCATGCTGATTTGTTTTACTGTCAATCTCCTGTCACTTCACATTTGGTGGGACGTTCTCATCTCTGTAATCTTTGCCCTTGCTCATTCCTCCAAACGGGAAGATTTGCATGTCACACACACCGATGCCGTTTTTGTGGTTGTATCAGGAAGTGCTCTCGCTTACAGCCTTTTAACTGCCTTCTACTTTCCAATGACAATACAACAACATTACAAGTATTACTGTGCATTTTGAGCAGCTGTTTGATAAGTTCAGTCGGGTCTATAAATATTGAGACTTCAACACAATTATCATCTTTTTGACATCACCGCAATGGATTTGATTTGATCTATTGACCTATTTCCCCAGGTGTTTAGAAGCTGAAGTCTCAGGCGTTTTAAACTTGTTTGTCCCATTACATTTCGTACTTAAATAATGGGAGGCACACATGAAAACTGTTATTCCAACCAAAACACAATCCTGACAGTTCTTGAGAGGTATACAACCGTGGCGTGTCTCTATATTATCATACTTTTTTTTTTTTCCAGTGTCCTGTATAATCCTGCTCAATCATATGTCGTACACATTAAAGCATCTGTATGTGTCTTTCTTCTGGTGATTCCATGAACACAGACAGATCAGTCATATGCCACATGGATTTGTTTATGCTTTTGACATTGTTGCCTACAGTGTGTCCCGGGTGGTACTTTTGTGTGTCCTGGGTGGTACTTTTGTGTGTCCTGGGTGGTACTTTTGTGTGTCCCACGTGGTACTTTTGTGTGTCCCGGGTGGTACATTTGCACAAGTAACTGCAAATGGAAAATAAACAGAATCTGAAAATTATGAACAAATAATTCCACTTTATTTCGACAGTAGCTCAGTTGGTAGAGCATTGGCCTTAAGGCCAGAAAGTCGTGGGTTCAATTCCCACCTCTGCACCTTCTCCATTGACTCCCACTGATGACTGCTGTCGTTGTGTCCTTGGGCAAGACACTTAACGCCACTTTGCCCAAAGCCCCCACTGAAAGATCAAGGCTCTGCTCACACTCAGAGCAGCCGTCCTCCTGTGGACTCACCACCTGCAGAGGATCAGTGAGGGGCTGGTGCTATGAGACTTGGGTGGCATCTCTGACTGCCACCCCCCTGACCCAGAAATGGATTAAAGGGTAGAAAATGGATGGATGGATGGATGGATGGATAATTCCACTTTAAATTTGTGGAAATATGTCAAGGCTGATCACAGTAAGGATCAAATTTATTTTTATTGCCATTGTCAGTAACAGGAAGTCACAAACTAAGATATTGCTTTAGCTCTTGGTGCAAACAAGTTATACAAGTAAAATAAGTATAAATCATGCATAAAAAATACATTTAAGAAATCTGCATTTCTTAAAATTACAAAGTGCTCTAAGTACACACTGTGGACATTATAATACATCATAATATTTATTACATTATTATCATATTATTATTTGTATGGCTCTGTAGGTTGTTTGAGGAGACTGAGGTTCACAAACAAACAGACACAAGAGGAAAATGTACAGCTGTCAATTATAATCTGTAGTTGGTTGAAACAACAAAAAATAGGTTGGCCTCACAACATTTCAAAATGTCTAATTTTCATTTTTCTAGTTTTATAATGGATTTTATAATGGATAATGCTGATTTTTCTGAAGCTTTATTAGCCAGGTCAGTGATCATGGGTGAATAAGGGATTATTGTTATAGTTTTGACCAAAACAAAGCTTCAAAGAGATGACTTTTTACACATTTCCATGTCATTATTAAAACATTTTAGTCAGAAAATATCTTCAAAAAAGCAATTTTAGCTGTTTCAACTATCAAATAATCATCTCGGAAAACTTGAACATTCTCTTTTCAAAAATATCTTTCAGAAATCGCTATTTATATATAAAATACATGTATGCCACTGTAAAAAGTGAAAATTAAGTCACTAAATGCTATAATCTAGCAAAACGGATCTTAATTTGAGCACATTTTGACTGGCTCAAAACAAGATTTGCCAGTGGGACAAGCAGGATTATCTTGTTTTAAAAAGATACAAGAAATGTACCCCTTAGAATGAGAAAATAAAGCAACAATTCTTGAAATAAGAGTAAATAGCTTTGTCCCATTGGCAAATCTTGTTTTAAGACAATCAGAATGTCCTCAAATTAAGATACATTTTGTCAAATTTGAACTTATTTTTCATCACTTTTTGCAGTGCTACATATATACTATGATACAGAAATATTTTCCTCATATTTCATCATTTTTAGCAGTGAGTGTGTATGGGGTCAGATGTAGTGACGTGGTCTCAGAGGAGCAGGGGAATGTGGGACAGTGCGGTCTCTGTGCGAGGAGGTCAGTCTGGATCTCACGTGAAGTTCTCCCAATCCTCTTACAGCAGCACAGGCCAAACCTCCAGATCAGCAGCCTTATCCCGAAGACGGTCACGCAGCAGGTATCAAGCAGACAACCTAGTAACCTCTGCGGAGCGGTGTCCTGGAACGTCCAGAAAACACATGCGGTCACCTACAAACACAGGTGCTGCTGTTCCACTTACTCCAGTATATGTATTGTAGTGTTATTATTTACCAGCAGTCGTTTATCACCACAGAGTATCAGTAATAGTAATAGTAATAGTACTTCTATTCAATTTAGGAGTAGTTTTCTCTGAGGACTTTACAAAAACCATGAATTCGCCAAAACAGATCAGAGAATGAAACAGTTCAAACACAAGAAATGCAATGATAAAAAAGTACAATATAATCACCTGTAAATACTTCTGAACCAGGTGCAATTATAGCTCCAGAGTTTGATTTGATTCTATTTTATGATCTATGACTTTTTATTTTATCATTCTAATTTCATTATCCATTATCTTAAATAATTTGTGCGCAACGATGGCACTGAAATTTCCACTGTGGTATGAATTAAGGACTGTCATGTCTTATCTGTCCATAAATGTCCATAAATGTTGATAAATGTCATGTCCATACTTGTTGTTGTTAGTTTTAATATTTATCAGTACCGTGATCACCACCGTGTATGGAGTGAAGGACATGTGAA